CGTAAGTATCTTGAAAAATCGAAAATAATAATAAATAGATAAAAGAAATAAGTCATAATAGCAATATACTAGTATCTCCAATAAATGATTTGACATTTTCATAACAACGAACAGACGAATTAGATCGTATTTAAAATTCACATATCTTTGTTATTTTTATTATTTTAATGATTTGTCTCTCCAGCCTCCTTCTTATTTATCAAAAAATCTAACCTTACTATTTGTTTCTCGTAACAGCGAATGAGAAAGATATTTCATAAATATCGGATATAGATTAATGACAAAATGTTTGTTTTGTTAGTTAAAATAATTTTTATAAAGAATAATTTGAACAGTGTTGTTTTAAAAGCAAGTAATAGGTAATTAATGTGTTAAAAAGAATTTGATTCGAATTGCACAATAGCAAAAATATATTTTATATTACTCATTATACTATATTAAATCCGAAATCAAATTTCATCATAAGAAATAGTATAGATATTCGTTGGCTTAAAGAAGGGTAAAAGTATAACCGACTTGTTTCAACCTGTTACAAAATAACTATGCAAAAACATTCTAAACAGTTAACTATTGCGTCAATCGGCATTTTGAGCCTTGCCGAAGTTTTCCAAGGATTTTACAAACGAGTCTCAGTAAAATGAGAACACTAAGTACCGATATAACGAGTGTTTTCTTAGACGTGTGGTTTTCAATGATGCAATACTTTTTTTGGAGCTTGGTCTTTTTGACAGCTGTTACTTGATTTATACTCAGTTTGGTTTGGCATTTCATAATGGACAGATTTACTCAGGAACACCGTTCGGTGAATGGGCCCAAAACGAGATATGTTAGTCACCTATCTTGATTTTCACAAGAAAGTTTCGTTCAGCGATGAAATTGTCGCATTTGGATTGATGATAATCCACAAGCTATTAACAGCGTCTCACCGTTACATCCTCAAAAAGTCCCTGTTTGGTGTGCTCTATGCGCAGAGGGAACCATTGGTCCATATTTCTTCAAAAATGAAGCCGCTTATAGTGTTACAGTCAACGGGGAACGCATACATTAATGACTTTTTAATTACTGAATTGGAGAATATAGATGTGGATGACCTTTGGTTCCAACAAAATGGGTCTATATGCCATACAGCTAACGAAACAATAAATTTATTAAAGGAAATATCGTGAGATTTAACAATGCTGGATTTTTGGTGGGGGTATGTGTAGATAAAGCCCGAGACGATTGACGCCTTCATCGAGAATATTCGGCGCGTTATTGTTGACATACGGCCCCAATTGCTGCAAAATGTGGTCGAAATTTGGAACTTATTTGAGCCAGCCGCGAGGGTCACTTACTCGTACATGCCTTAATATTAAATTACATGCCTCTTATTTCTTCTTAAAACTCAAATGTCTAAAAAACACCCCTTAGCTAAGATATTATATTATATAATACTTCCTAAAAATGCGGCACGGTGGTATGACGACATTTCAACTCAAATTGAGAACCAAAGGAATATTAAAAGTATATTATTCATCTAGTTAATGAAGGAAACTTGAAAGTTTCTGGATAGATAAAATAAAACATAGAAATAGATGTCAAATTTGACCCCATCGCAAAACTTAAAGCATAAGTATTAGCGCTTAGGCACCGAGGATAAGAAGATATATTTATTTATATCGTCATACATAATAGTTTTCGAGTAAGAAAGAGAGAAAGGAAAAAGAACTAATGATTTTTGTAATAATTTTTAGATGCTGTTATATATTAGGGCCAGGTATATTCGTATCCATATACCTATAATAAAAAATATTTACAACAAATTCAACAAAATAATATTTTACTTTCGTTATAAATCTTTTTAAACCCTTTCCATAATTTGTATTTGGTTAATGTCTGCTGCTAACAATTATGATAACATAGGCTCATTATTTTCTTATTTTCCAAAATTTCGCTGTTTTATTTTTACCCACAGTCTAAATGTTCCATTTGCTGTTATAATGTAAAATAAACGTCAGGCAAGGAATATGTGTAGTTAAAAATAAACATAATTAACGGTAAAAAAAATAATTTTATTATTAATATTTGATTTAAATAAAGAAAGTAGTTATGTAAGAAATATTAAAAAATTAATAAAGCAGAAAAAATTAATAATAATAATAATATTGGTTGTAATAACTTTTACTAAAGGAAAACGAAACTTGTAGCTAAAAAAATCGAACAGATCAAAACAAGCCAAGCCAAAATGATCCGTAATGTATTATAATTAATTAAATTTTACAGTGTAACAGCTGAGGTTGGTTCATGCAAACAAACATGCTCTACTAAACTTTACCGCAGGCATAAGAACTATGTAAATAAAATTCAAATTCAAAAAATAAGATAAATTTCTAAGAATGATAAATAAAAAAAAGTTCTATATAGTATGATAAATAATATTAGTGTAGATAAATTAATAGTCTTGAATTTTTTGCAACATGCGTTTGCAAAATACATTTAGAAAAAATTAAGTTTGTTTCAAAAGGAAAAAAATCAGTAGGAGAGGTGTTGAATTTATATAAATTTATTGTTATTTTACAGCTGGTTTTATTCTTACTTATTTGTAAATTTACAGAGAATTTTTTGAAACATGTAGCAATAAATTTTACCATTAAATTACTATTTAAACCAAGAAATATACAACACATTTTACACTGGGAATAATAATATACATTTTAATAAAATGATGTCAGTCACGGACAAACTTTTTGACAAATATCTCACTGGTATTGTCATTAAGTTTACGATTATTGTAGTTTGGATAACAATAACACAACGGAAAAGAAAAATTGTGCTAGAATCGATAGAATGAGGGAGCAGGAAGTCTGTAAAATACGGCGTAACGTTTTAATGGGAAAGCGCCCCAAAATGATTTTGGATGATCGTAAATAGAAGTTCATCGAGATAGCTGATATCAAAGAAAGATGTTGGACATACCGCTCTAGAAATGTCGGTAAGAGAAAACCCTTTGAAACGTAGGGGCCATGCGAGCTTACAAATCAAAAAGTTTATGAATTCGGCTTCGAATTGATTTGATAGCAAGCGTATTCTCGAAATTTCAGCCCAGCGACTTTTTCTCTTCCTCAGACCTCAAAACATGCTTGCTGGAAATAAATTTAGCCACAAGAAACAGGCCATCATCGGGAGTAAGGTCTGTTTCTCACGAAAGACAAATCGTACTACAAAAAAATTATCGAAAAGTTAAAGCCAAATTATTGGATAATAAAATCGGATTTTGAAATAATATGCACTTATCTATTAACTTCAGGTATGTTTTAACATACATAAAGTCCTTACTGTTAGATTAAAAATTATTCGAAATTAATTTATTTTAAAATTTCTCTTTGCACCCTGTTTTAGAGCCATATTTTTGTGAGTTTTAACTATAGCACTAATTCTTTAGTGCAATTTGCACTTTATTTAAAATTATTCAGGATTAGTGAAGAAATTCATATCGATTTATGGGGATTAAGCTTTTGCCTGCTTTTATAAGAATATTTTGCAATAATTGTTTGAGTCGAGCTTTTAGTGGTTCAAGATACTTTACTCCCAGCTTATAAGTTAATGTGTTGTTTATACCATGATCGGCTAAGGCCAAACTCCACATCTTTGAGTTATTCAAATGGCACAATAACTATTATTAATAATTATTTAATAAAAAAATGTGGAGTTTTATTATTAATTTTTTTTTGTAAAAAACTACTTGTCTTTAAACAAAAGAAAAAGTAAAATTATATCATGCAAAAGTAAAGTAGAGGAAAGCGGTAAAAGTTTACAAAGTAATATAATTACATATATATAAATAGCATTGTAGTATTTTAATTAATTCAAGAACACAGATTATGTAGTTAAATATTCGGAAAATGGCAACTACACTTCAAACCCTGTACAATATAATTAGGTAGGAAGGAGCCCTTCAGGAACAAAAGGAAGCTGGAGATAAATCACGCGCGCGCGTTTCTAAATGAAGTATGTATGTATGTATGTGCGTATGCATGTAAGTTATAAGTATGTATCAGTATGTGTAAGAACTAGGTAAACAGGAAATATTGGGATATAGAGGAAACTAAAATTACTTAAATGTATTTTGAGCGAAATGAACACCAATTAGAAGGTGCAAAGTAATTTGTAAATATTTTTGCGACAATTCAAATTTTTAATATATGTATGTTTATAAAGTTTTTGAAAATTTTTTCAGCGTTGCGCCGCGCGTTGAATCTGTAACGGCACTTAGTAGGTCGCGAGCAGCAACAGAAAATTAAGGAATTTTCACTTTTATCGCGCGTTTTCTTTAAAGTACGCTTTTCTTACTTCTTTCTTTAAAAATTGGATTGTTGTTTCTTGCAACAGTTTTTATTGCATTTTCCTTTGCAACAAATTTACTTTCATTTATCGCTTTTTTTAAATATTAAAAAAAAAATGGTATTACAGAAATTGTCTTCAAACTATATGCCAATATTATATATATGTAGTATATTATGAAATGCCAACTAAAATTATGAAGTTTGACTATAAAACTAATAACAAAAAGAAAGGTTAACGCAAACGGAAATAAATCAATCACTAGTATTATGTAATTACTACAAATGAAAAAGTAAAAAACACAGTAACGTGTTTTTTGGATTTTTACATACATCAACGCTAAATTTTATATACGAATTCCTATATTACTGTTATTAACTGCAATAGAACGTTAATAACTTTATATAAAATATTAAAAATTTTTCACTTGCAAACAAAAGAAGCCTGTGGTAAGTTCAGGTGTCAGTTTCAAAAAAGGGAAAGTATATTTTATTTATTTCCAAAGGGCTGATATAACTTTCTAAGTGGTTGAGTTTGGTATATAGATATATATATAGTACAGTAAAGCCTTAACTGCATGAGCGATTGACAAAAGAGATATATATATAGAGAGAGCGTGTGTAAAGGCAAAAAAAAAAAACGCAAAAATAATTTGGCAAAAACGGCACTTTTGTACTCACCATCAATGTTATCCGACTGATCCAGTGGTAGCTGTTTACCATCGTTCTGATCTTCTCGACTCTCTTGCTGTAGGCCATGTGAGGATAATAGTTGAGACATTTCCTCGGAGTGTAGCTTCAATGCACCGGGCTGTATAGGTTTTGTAGATTTTTTTTGAATGATATAGATAAGTTGACATTATTGTGTGACTTTAATGGAAAATATTTGAATTTATGGATGTAAAATACTGCTTTTAAGAATTCTAAAAACGTATTTTCGTTGAAAATGTGAGTGTTTAATTTTCAGTGGAAAGACTGTAAAACTGATTTTTGAATTATATAAGGGGGTTAAACTAATTTAAAATTATTCGCAACTAGTGATATTTTTCATAATACCGCTCTTAATTTTTGGAATTTTATTAATTCAAAAAGCTTCCAAAAGCTCTATTTTGAAACTCCGTTTTTTAAATAGCTCTCCAATCTACGAGAAGTATAACCGTTTCGAAAATTGTAAAAAAAAACTGAGCATTTTTTAAGAGCAATCAGAATTGGAGTAGCTTGAAGATGCTTTTCTGTCAAGATGTTTAGGTACATAGTGCAAACTTTCAATTTTAATAATAATTAATTTAAGTATACAGTTGAGTCTCCAATGACATTTCCCTAAGTTTCTAATTCTAAACGGCTTAATGGATATATTTTTTTAATCTCTAGACTTATATAAGATTGTTTGAAAATAAAAGTAATGAACTTTCTGAGCCTTCTGAACCTCAGAAACCGTAGGAGTACGATGTACGTAGCAAAAACGATATTTTTCTATTCTTTTCAATATAGATAATATAGCTTTTCTATCTTATGTGAAAAGCACTCAAAACCATAATTGTTAAAACTAAAACGAGCTTTAAAGCCGGAACATAGAATTATAATAATTAAGTTCAACTTTAGTTGTTAAGGTTTTTCATACTCATATTGGTACATACATAGTAAATATATGTATAGCTATGTTGGTTAATTAAAATTTAAGTCTTAACTTGACGATACTGTAAACTAAAATCGCAACACTAAAATTGTTATAAAATTTCAATTCGTTTATTTATACCATATTATAACATTCGCTGTTCAACTTCACAAAGAAAATGCTTCATACTTATTCTATATTTGTGCTTGCACATTAAAGGTATGGAACCAAGATTTTTTTATTTCAATTATAATGAAAGTACAAAATTTTGAAAATTCTGCAATTCAAAAATAATAATTAAATTACACTTTAATACTAAATTAACCAATCAAGGCGAGATCTTATACAGTTGTTGTTGGGTGGTTTGTTTTCTCTCTGAGAACGCTGCGAGTGTACTTCACACGCTATCCTCTCCCACATTTATCGTGATCACTTCTGGCGCCCCCTTGCGTTTGTTCATAGTCTCGCGCAAAATTGTACCAATTTCACTATCCACTGACATATTGCGCATACCACCACCACCACCACCAACAACAAGATCACTCTGAGCATTTCCTAGACTTGCCGCACCCGTTGCGCTCTCTTTACTATGCGGCTGCAACTTGTCGACCTCCAGCAATTCACGTTCGTAGCACAAACGATGCGATTTACATTTATTGTGATGATTTACAATCTCCAAACGGAAGTTTGAATTGCCCTCCACAAAGGAGGTGCGTATATCCGGTATGTCATTCGACCATTTGCGGCAGAATTTGCAAAACATTGTGTTCGCGACCTCATCGTATTGCAGCCAATCGAATTGAAACAGCCAATTGGAGCGGAAGCGCCCACTTTTGCGCAAGCTACCACTGCTCGTGGTCGTGCTGCCGCCCGCATGCACGCCTGCAGTGACGAACTGCTTACTGTGTGGCGTGTTATCGTAGGTCGCATACTTGGCAGCTTTAGGGTCGGCAGGTGTCAGCGGTCGCTGAAAGTTGTTTGTGGTGTTGAGCAGAAATTGTTGTTGTTGTTGCAGTAGTCTTTGTATGGTCGCTGTTGCAGTGGCGGTGGTTTGCGCGAGTTCGAGATCGGTGGTCAGGTGCTGCGCGGGCTGATTGCTGGCGGAGAGTTGTGCTTGCGCTTGCGTCGAGTACCAATTTGTGTTACTTTGGCATTTGTGGGTTTGTTCATGTTTTACGCGCAGTTGCTGTTGCTGCATAGTCTTTAACTGTGCTTGTACTGCCTGCTGTAGCAAAATATTCTGCTGTGTTTCTTGTTCTCCGCGCTGCTGCAGGAATTCAAACTGCTGGCGCATATACTGCTGCTGCACCGCCTGTGTTGACGCATGCGACGCTGATAGCAACGACGATGCACGACGCCGACGCTCCGGTGACTGCTCGTTCGCAGTCGTGTGCTTCTCCTATATTTCATATGTGTGAGAGTGTGTTTTGCGGTTCGAGGCGTGATATCGGTAGATTTCGCCGGTTTTCGTTTTTACCGACCGACGGCATTGTCGAAATCAGTTTCGAAAAAATTTAAAATAAAGGAAACAAATAAAAATGTTGATAAAAATAATAGCAACAAAAACAACTTCAGAAAAGTGGCAAATTTGTGAGTATTTTGGGAGGAGGAAGGATTTCGTTTTTGCAATTATATGGCTATGAGACTGGCCGCAACGCCTTTTCGTGAATGTGTGAGTATGAATTTTCGAAAAGTAGGAGAAAGCCATGGGTACGGAGGACGAAGTACTATTATAAGAAAAAACGTTTACTGTGAAGTTAAGAAAGAAAGTAAGGAATTAAGGAGGAGCGTATAAGGTCGTAGGAAAGGTGAGAGCGTTAGCAAGCGAAGAGACGGGTGCGGTATTTAGCAAAGCAAAGTTGTTCAGATTTTTTCTTTTTCTCGGACGATGAGCAAGTTGCATTATATGTAAGTATTTACAAGGGTTAGCTATTAGACTTGTCTTAACTAAGTGATCAAATAAACAGTAAATTACAGTATTTATTTTTTTTATTTTTGGTTTAATTAATTATATAAAGCAATAACGTAAATCCTTCGTCCTTGCTGTTTAGGGAATTTCCACATTTTCTTAAGTTGTACTAAACAATTGTGCTGTACGCTTCGTAGAAACATTTGCTGGAAGCATTTTCTTTGTATTTGTTGCAAAATTTTTTTGTTGTTGCACACTGTTTTTGATGTTTACGCATTAAGTTTTGCAGCATATATATTTTAAAAACTAGTTTACAATTTTATTGTCTTTATTTATGTAAAGTTTTTTATATGTATTGTACAAGTATGTATTTACTGGACTTGGAACCATCGTACCGGTCCAAAGAAAAAACCTTAACAATTGATAGTGCTTACACAAATGTTGTATGTACTTATGATAGTTTAAAAACGGATCTCAGTTGGATACCTCTTATAAACGAATACACTAAATTCCACATTACATACATATGTACTCGTATGTATATAGAAATGGAAAATGTTTATAAACATGTCGACAGGCAATATGTATTGTATGTTTTTATATTGAGAACATGTTGGTAATTTCTTTGGAGTATAGATTAAGTGCCTGTATGTTTTTTCATTATGAAACCGTTCTTTTCTTTTTCTCAAAATATACTAAACCTCACATTACACATAAAATAACATTTTATTTCCTACCGGAAACATGTTTATAAACATTTTCTTATCAACACGACAAACACATTAATATCAAAAAAAATGTATTTCAAGCTTTTTCTTAGTTTCTCAGATCTATTTTAGGTATTTAAGCCTATATATTTTTTAATTGTCGAATTTGTTGTAATGACTACTCACCGGCAAGTATTCGGTTGGCAAAGGTACATGAGTCTCACGTTGTTGTTGTTGCAGCTGTTGCTGTGCTTCAATTAATTCTTGTTTAATACTAAGCGCATGACTGAGACCAATACTACTGGGAATCGCACTAACACTGCCGCTACCTACGCCACCTAGTCCGCCACCACTGATACTCAATTGACTGACGGAAAGTGGTGAATCACGCCGTTCGTTAATACCTGTGATGATGGCATCCTCCGATTCAGACGTGCTGCCAGTTTTTGGCACGGGACTCGATTTAAAATTGCTGCGCGAGGATGCCTAAGGGAAATGTGAATGTTTTAGAAAATGTTTGTGAAGAATATATTAATAAATTTTTTATAAATAAAGTATTCTTTTCTTCAACTATTGTAACATGTAAGTTCATATTTCTAGGATATGTATACCTTCAAATATGGACATAAAATGTCTAACGATTGGGTACACTAAATGGGCTTCATTCAAGAATAAAACTTCCGCGGTCAACATTTTCTATTATTACAGAAAAACTTTCTTCGATTGGTGGCAACTCCGTTATGACACATATTCAATTTAAAGCCTGCCCAACTAATTTACCTCTACGATCCCTTTTTTTTAAATTACCGTTATTGGATTTACTGTTATTGATAGCTGGCAACTATATTTCAAAATACATACAAATTCAAGATATCTTGAAACCTTTTCTAAAGAGTTTCTTAGACATCTTATGTTTGCACAAATTTTATAATGTGTTCAGATTTTTAGAACCCTTTCCATGTGGTGTCAACTAGAGATTGTTAATATTATCACCTCTATGTTATTCTTAGTTTCCAGATAATTTAAAGAATGGATTTTCAGAATCCTATAATTCATAGCTTAAAATACATTTTAAAATGTTTTCTCCCTAATTTAAAGAAAAGCCATTTAAGAACTTTTTAATTAGGCTGAAATGAAATCGCAACTCATTCTAAGTCGTCTTTTTATTTATGTGTAGTTGCCTATTTTTATCAAAAATTCTTAAATCTACAAATCTACAAATTTAATGTAATGAGGCTAGTTCTTAGGAAAAACCACTTGGTGTGCTGTGTGCAAGTGTCGTATATGTTAACACCATTGAAATACGATATAAGACATAATACAAAGCTTGTGAAATACCTAAATAATCATAGCAAGGCAGACTCATTTTTTTGTTAATTCTTAATTTTTTCATCTTACACTCACCTGAGAATCCTGTGTGTAGTGCCTATCCTGTACATTTGCGTTATGCGTCGAGGTCAACGAATTATCACAGTTGGATGAGTTCTTACGTCTTCGCTTATTACTACCTATATGGTCCACCGGCGTGGTGGACATCTCCCTATCACGATCTCTGTTATCCTTGTTACTATAGTCTAGCTGCATGAGTTCATCACGACTATCGGCGCGTTCGCGACCAATGCTGCTGCTACGATCGCCACAGTTGCCCCCATTGCCAGCACCACCGCCACCACTAACGCTGCGCTCACTATTCGCATCGCTGTTGCGACTATTCAATATGCCACCAGCACCGCTGATAGTGCCGCCGGAACAGGCTGTATTCGTTGAACCACCGAGCGGATCGGCGCTGGCACTGCGTGTGGCCGCAGCCGCTACTGCGGCAGCCATTGCGGCCGCTGTGATTGGCGAACGTTCTCCTAAGCCCAAAGCTGCTGCTGCAGATTGTAGACTAGCACTCACACTGCCCACATTTGCAGTGGTAGCTGCTGCTGCTGCAGCGGCATTACGTTCGCTCAAACTGCTGCTGCTGCGATGTGAATGCATTTCGTCACGCATTTCGCGTTCAGTACCGCGGCCACGTAACTGTTGATCGCGTTCGCGTGGCTCACATTCGCTACCGCCACTACCGCCACCACCGAGACCGCCACTACTGTACGGTATACGGCCGGTGGGCGAGGATATGGGCGAATCACGGTGTTCCGTGCGATAGTTGAGGTTATTGTTGTCCGTTAGACCACGAACCTGTGTGGAATAAGTGAGAATTTTCATGAATTTATTCCTTCAGAAGTAAAAGTGTAAAATATTCTGGCTTACCTGTAGACTCTCCGCTGTTTTGAGGAACATCGGCAGCGAACTCTGACCGACATTGACTTCGCCTTTGTACATGAAGTCTAGCAGGGAGCGCATTTCTGAGTATCTGACATCTTTTAAATAGATGATAGGATGTGGATGGCGGTTTTGCAGGAAAATTGTCTCGAAATATGGGCTACATGCTGATAGAATGGTTTGATGTGCCTGTTTCGATGAAAGTCATTCAAATATAGTTATTGTATTTATAGATTTAGGAAGCCAAATTTAGTTTACCTTGACTGTTTCACCGTCGCATGCCAGCGTCACATCACATAGTGCCTCCCTCTGCAGCAACGAGGTTAGCACGCCAGTTAGGTTCGTCGGATGATTGTTCCAGCGTAGGCAGAATTGCTGGTCCATAGCTCCTTGGTCAGTGTGGTATCTGCAAAAAAAAATTAAAGTGTTAATTCAACACCTTTTATAATTATGCTAAAAATCCAGAGATATTTTTATCTCTGTAAGTTCTGTTAGTTAGTTGATTTTATGGTAGGAAAAGTTATAAATATTTATATCTACACTAGGCCAGCATTATGATAAACATTTGATCATTAAAGGGTGTTCTAATAAAATAATATTTGAAGAAAATTTTGTACTTTTGGTTTATATTTATACCCTGATTAGGGTATATTAAGTTTGCCAGGAAGTTTCTAACAACTTCTTTATTTGAAAATTTAGCATATATTATCCATAGATCCAAGGCAACACTACAATCTCCAAAAGAATTGTTCAGATCGGACCACTATAGTATATAGCTGTCATCCCCGTCCTTCGCCAGCGAATTGGAGTGTAAAAGGGGCAGATGTAGATTAAAAAAATTTTATTTGTAGTTTTTTCTGACTTCGCTGATGTGTCTCATAAATCATCATATGCTTTAGTAAGAAAACAAGCTAATCTACTCTTTGAAGTGTAAGGTGATCTTTGAAAGTAGAGACCTTTTGATTTGAGAGATTTTTTGATGGAAAATTGGGGTTTTTTCGATCTTATGTCAATATAAGGAGAAACAAGTAAGGAAGGGCTAAGTTCGGATGTAACCGAACATTTTATACACTCGAAAAGTTAAATGATATACTCGTTTGAGATTTCTTTGTGGATTGACTGATATTTTCGGTAGAAAGTCAAATATAGGAACTGGGCTTGAACAGTTTTGGTTCGATTTAGACAATTTTTGGTCACAAGCTGGCATACTTTAAACGTATTATTCACGCATTCATTTTTATACTCTCGTAACCTGTTGCTACAGAGTATAATAGTTTTGTTCACCTAGCGGTTGTTTGTATCACCTAAAACTAATCGAGTTAGATATAGGTTTATATATATATAAATGATCAGGATGAAGAGACGAGTTGAAATCCGGGTGGCTGTCTGTCCGTCCGTCCGTGCAAGCTATAACTTGAGTAAAAATTGAGATATCTTTATGAAACTTGGTAGACATGTTTCTTGGTACCGTGAGACGGTTGGTATTGCAGATGGGCGTAATCGGACCACTGCCACGCACACAAAACGCCATTAATCAAAAACAAATAAATTGCCATAACTAAGCTCCGCAATAAGATACAATACTGTTATTTGGTACACAGGATTACATTAAGGAGGGGCATCTGCAGTTAAAATTTTTTTAAACGTGGGCGTGGTCCCGCCTCTAATAGGTTTAATGTGCATATCTCCTAAACCGCCAATGCTATAATAACAAAATTCACTGCAAGCAAATGTTTTTAGAATTTCTACGTACAGTGTGAAAATAGTTGAAATCGGATGGCAACTCCGCCCACTCCCCATATAACGGTACTGTTAAAAACTACTAAGAGCGCGATAAATCAAGCACTAAACACGCCAGAGACATTAAATTTTAACTCTGGGATGGTATGATATGACTTTATAGGAACCGCGTTCAAAATTAGACAGTGGGCGTGGCACCGCTTACTTTTAGGTGAAAACCCATATCTTGGGATCTGCTTAACTGATTTCAACCAAATTCGGTGCATAACGTTCTTTTCATATTTCTATGTCATAGTGCGAAGATGGGCGAAATAGGACTACAACCACGCCTTTTTCCCATGTAACACCATTTTCAATTCCATCTCATTCTTTCACTTTCCACTATGCATATCAAGCAACAATGATTATATCGGGGTAAAACTTTGCGTGAATAATGCGTTTAAAGTATGCCACCTTGTGACCAAAAATTGTCTAAATCGAACCAAAACTGTTCAAGCCTCTAAGCACTAAATATGTGGACCCCAGTGCCTATAGTTAACCTTCTACCGAAAATATCAGTCAATCCACAAAGAAATCTCAAACGAGTATACCATTTGACTTTGCGAGAGTATAAAATGTTCGTTTACATCCGAACTTAGCCCTTCCTTACTTGGTTTTGTTTTTTTTTAATAATTTTCACAGCTTTCTGCGGTTTATATGTATATATTTTTTTATAATTTCTGTAGTAGTTTTGTTATTATAATTTCCTAATTTACCCACATATGACAAAAAGAATGTGCTAAATTACTACATAAAGATTTAATAGCGGAAACAGCATTGCCCTTGATCTTTCCCCCAAAATAGCAATATGTACAATTTACATTGTTTTGTGTGTCGCAAAAAAACTTCCAAAAATGCGAATGCACCCGAAAATAAATATCGGGAGATTGTTTATTACGCATACAAATGTAGTATATTTTGATAATATCAAATCCCGAGACTAATGGGCGAAAAAAGTTCGCTTTCTCTAAACAAATACACAAATACAAAAAACAACAAAATATAATAAGTATAAATGTGTATTTTGCACGAGTGTGAACAAACATTGTGTATGTTATGTGTGTGAGAACGTAACGAATGTCTGCTTACTATGAGGTAATAGGCCAAACAAACAATAAGAAATCATAATAAATAAAGAATTCCGAAAGAAGAAAAACAATCAGTATAGCCGCAGAGGCATTAGTAGTAACAACAATACCAACAATAATCAGACACCGTGACTCTTAATTCAATAATTACTTCATTCGCCGGCGAATTCCGACAGCAATCAACAGATGCCGATCGAACGTCAAACGAAAGTGAAAGTCAATTGGTGGAATGTTTGTATTTATATGCATACGCGCATGAGTATGTATGTATGTCTGAGCAAATGGGTAGCGAATGTGAAAACGAAGATGCGGCGATAATTAAATTATGTATTAGTTAGAATAGCAACAATAATCTAAATACCAAGAATTGAAATTCTATGTATGCAATGCCAACAGGTTTGACTGTATTAACTAATGTGCAAAACTATGGAGCGATGTATATAATACATACATACGTATTTGTCTTTGCCATAAATGCCGTTCAAATAGAATAAAGATACAAATAACCGTAAGATAATACTAATATAGTAGTAATAATTATTACTCTTGCAACATGTTGGTAGCAACTATAATAGTTTTGTTCACCTAACGGTTGTTTGTATAACCTAATAATAATATAGTATAATATAATAATTAGATATAGGGTTATTTACATATGTATATATAAATGAACAGGCTGACAAGACAAGTTTAATTCCGAGTGACTGCCTGTCTGTCCGTCCGTCTGTACAAGCGATAACTTGAGTAAAAATCAAGATATCTTAATGAAACTTAGTACACATGTTTCTTGACAAAAAAGTGAGGAGTTGTGTTGAGTTTGTAGATGGGCGTAACCGGATTCATCAAGAATAAATCTTATAAGAGTCCCCACAGAGAGTGTGGAAATGAATGAAATCGGGTTATAACTCCACTCCAATATCTGCGAAAGTACTCTACCAATTTTAACCAAATTATTAAATTAACAATTCCTGTTGATATGATGTCAATCACATGGTGAACATGCGCGTAATCGGATTACAACCACGCCTACTTTCCATATAGCATAATTTTAAATTTCCTCTGTTTTTTCACTTTTTACTTAGTACACAAATCAAGCACCAATGAATATATTCAGATAAATAGCACAAATAGTGCCATCTTGAGTCTGAAATTGTCAAAATCGGACCATAACTATTCAAGCTCCGCTTACCGAATATGTGTTTCATCGAGTCAATACTACCCTTAGCCCCCATATACCTAATAAATATCGACCAATGTAGGAGTTATTTTAATGAAATTGAGAGAGCGCTGTTTTCTAATAACAACTTGCCTTAGATTTTAAAACATCCATTTATTTTAACTCCATATATCATATATGTTTATATTTATATATTTATAAAATTGCTTGAAAATAAATTCTCAAGTATCCCTGAACAATGTCAAAAATTATGCAATCAGCCCTTCCATTTCTCTGCCCCCAATACAAGTATATTCCATACAATGATTTTTGGCTTGACCACTTGACTTTAAATCTTTTAAGTTAATTAAAATGTTGAAATTTTAATGAAATTAAGCGTACACGATTTCTTTAAATTTATAAAATTATATTTATGGTTTGGCGCTCAATGTAAATTAAATTGGTCTTGATCTAAACCTCATATCCCTTTCGATCTTTAGTTGACGTTTTTTACATCAAGTCAATATATTAAATTTAGCATCTTCGGTTAAGTTTATATCACATACAAGTATATCTCATTTCAGGATGATTTAAGTAAAATTCTCGCTGACTGGAAGTAAAATATAGAAATAAAACAAGTCAAAATAAGGTTATATGATATGATACTTGATTATTATCCATTCACGAATTGCATCGTTGCCTTCGAAAATAACCCATGCCAAAGTTCGTGAAGATGTCTCTTAAATGAAAAAGTTTTCCATACAAGCTCTTCTTTAACACAGTATTATAAAGGGCACCTAGTGTTTAGTCTTGAAAAAATTTTTTTTTTTGCATATTTCGATAGTCTACATATACCTTCAAAAATACCATACTAACATTTTTAATTATAATTTCAAATATTTTACAGGCTTCTAAAGTGTAGTCGCTCAGTTCAATAAGCTCTACCAGTTTATCTTTAAATACATTTTTACGATACAGCATTTTTCAAATTTGCTGCAGTGATTACTCGGAACAAATAATCCGATCAATATCAATTTTTTTATTGTTCTGTACCATGATTCAGTCCAAAATATACCATATTAACAATTTAACTTATATTTGCAATTTGAATTGATAGTCAACAAGTAAGGAAGGGCTAAGTTCGGATGTAACCGAACATTTTATATTCTCGCAAAGTCAAATGGTATACTCGTTTTAGATTTGTGGATCTTGCTGCCTTGTTCTATGTTGCCCGATATTTTCGGTAAAAAGTCAACTATAGGCACTGGGGTCCACGTATTCAGTACCTAGGGGCTTGAACAGTTTTGGTTCAATTTAGATAATTTTTTGGTCACAAGAGGGTATACTTTAAATGTATTATTTACGCAAAGTTTTACGCCGATA